ACTCCTTTCTCACACAGAGGAAGGAGTCGGCACCAGGGAGCACTTCCAGGTCCTACGAGAACCAAAGCCACATGACCTTCCTGCACAAGTGGGGACACAGAAAAGACACAGCTGGTCGGCTGGGCGAAAGCCAGGGCCCCGGAGCAAAATCTTGCCCTCAGCGTAGAGCACGCTGCAGGCAATACCCCGAAGACCTACAACTAGGCCTACCGCATTCAGACTGCACAAAATCAGGATCAAGATCAGGTCTTAAAAGAAGTTGGAGGAAAAAAAACCACCTTACCAACCAGGGAGCAAAGATGACTTTCCAAAGAGTCCTCAGACACCAGCACGAGCAGGAGGACAGTGCAGCGAATACTTAAAATCACTGAGAGAAAAAAAAAAAACCACCAATAAAAATTAAAAAATCAAAGAGAATCCATCACATCGGCAGATCAAGGGAAAAAAATCACATGATAGTATCAACAGATGTAGAGAAAGCATCTGAGAAATCCCAACACCAATTTATGATAAAAACTCCTAGGAAATTAGAGGGGAACTTCCTCAACCTGATGAAGAATGCCCACAAAGCATACCTGACGGCGAGGAACTCAGAGCTTTCCCACTACGACCAGGTACAAGGCAAGGATGGCCCCTCTCACCACTCCTTTTCAGCATCCTGCGGGAAATCTCGCACGATGCTGAATTAACCTTGTTAATGCAATAAGGTAAGAAAACAAAAGGTATAGGGTTTGGGGAGGAAAAAACAAAACCGTCTGTGTTCACAGATGATGCGATTTTCAAAGAGAAGATCCAAGAGTCAACAAAAAACCCTCCTGGAGCTGGTGAGCGATTGCAGCAACGTTGCAGGGCACAAGGTGGATGCACACGACACCTCGAAGAGGAGCGAAGTCCTGACGCTGACACTCCCCGGCCCCGAGAACTACCCTGGGCCCTCGACTCCCCGCAGTACGGGGTCGGGGACAGCGGAGCAGGAGATCACAGACCCCCGGGGCCGACCAGCCGACTTCAACAAAGGAGCAGAGGCAGGACGGGGGGGAAACACCGCCCATCCGACAGCCGGCGCCGGAACACCCGGTCTCCACAGGCAAATACCCAAATCCACAGAAATCAACTCCAAACAGGTCACAGGCATAAATGTAAAAGGCAAACTATAAAACTCCTAGAAGACAACAGAGAAGACCGCGGCGGGCCTGGCGGTGATGCCTCTTTAGAGACGACCCTGCAGCCACGGCCCGTGGGACGGGACTGGTGAGCTAGAGTCGCCGGCAGGGAGCACGCGGGCTGTGCCAGGACCACCACGCACGGGAGACGAACTACACGCTGGGGGAAAGGGCTGCACGCGAAACATCGGAGAAGATGCAGACCCCCACGACCACTTTTACAAATTCAAGAAAATAAACATCAGGCTTTAAATTGGGCAAAAAATCCAGAAGGCACTTGGCCGAAGAATATGCGAGTATATGAGAAGCTGCTCCGCGTCCCAGGCCGTCAGGGAGACGGCGACGAAGACATGGGTGACGCATGGCCTCTGAGAACGGCTGCCACCCAGGCCCCGGGCCACGGCTCGGGTGGTGAGGATGGGTGACAGGCGCTGGTTCACCGCTGGCGGGCTGCGGGACGGGCCGCCTCCCCGGAGGGCAGCGGGTGGCGTCTCCCGGGATCGCCCGCGCTCCTCCGGGCCCCGCGACCTCGGCCCTGGTGTCCACGGGACACCCGCTCAGTGTCCACAGCAGCTCTCTGTGGGACGGCTGGGCCCCGGGGCGCCCACGCTGCTGCTCAGCAGGGGCACAAACAGGAGACGGCCCAGCGGGCGGCGGGAGCACACCCAGCACTAAGGGGGAGCGGGCCGCCCCCCCCCGACCAGGGACCCGGAGGAACCGTGAGGCCAGGTGACCTAGCGACGGCAGCCAGGGCGGGAGGGCTGTGCGCTGTGCAACGGTCTGGGGCAGGCACAGCCGGGGGGGATGGGGCAGGCTGGGGGTGCTGGGGGTGGGGGGGGGGGGGTGGGAGGGAGGAGGATTCCCAGGGCCAGCACCCATGAGAGGCCTTAGTGCTGGGCACGTCGTCACCCAACCCCCGCCTACCTCACTTCCCCCACGGGCCCCAGGTGATGACGACCGTGTGGGTGCGGGTTCACCCGGGGTCACACACACAGCGCGGGTGCGGGATGTGGCGGGGAGAGGAGGGCTGCGGGAAACCTCTGTACTTACTGTTTTGTTTTGTTTTTTTTAAAGATTTTTTTGTTAATTTATTTATTCATGAGACACAGAGAGAGAGGCGGAGCCACAGGCAGAGGGAGAAGCAGGCTCCCTGCAGGGAGCCTGACGTGGGACTTGATCCTGGGACCCGGGATCACGCCCTGGGCTGAAGGCACCAAACTGCTGAGCCCCCGGGTGCCCCCTGCCCCTTTCTGCTCAGTTTTGCTGAGAACCTAAGACCACTATAAAAAAATGAAGTCGATAGAAAACAGATGAATAAAACGTGCTTCCAAGGGAAATCTTGCTGAAAAAAGAAACAGAGGAGGAGCTGGAGCCACCCCATGGTGCGCTGAGGGCGGGCACCGGGGGCCCCCGCGTGACGCAGGCCGGGCGGCAAGCTCATGCCGAGCCCACCACCGCCGGGGCTCCCGCCTGGCCCTGGGGACGCTGGCGGCTGCCTTCCCGGAGCCCCTGGGCCATGCCGAGGGCACACGACAAACTAGGAACGGGTAGGCAGGGCCGCAAGCTCCCGACAGCAGGCCGGGGGGTGCAGGAACCCCCCGTGGGGTGACGCTGAAGCAAGGGCTGAGGGGCATGGGGGGCTGGGCTTTGCAGGGGAAGGGACGAGGGGTGAAGGGTCTGGGCCACAGGCATGTCCTTGGCCTGGGGGGCGTCAAGGAGTTTCCGGGGCCCCCCATCTACAGCCTTGTCAAGGACAGCAGGCACATCACCCGTGACCTCCGTGGCCCCACGCCCGGGATGCCCTTGAACTCCCTCTCCGGCCGTTCCTGCTGGCCTCCATCTGGAACGTTCTTCACACACAGCCGGCCACGTCGCATCCACCTGTTGCCCCCCCATTGGATCCGAACAGTGCCGGGCATGCAATCGTTGTCCACAAATAAACACCTGGACTCCCTCTGGTTCCGGTCTGCGGGGGCCACCCTCCGGGCGTTCCCACCGCTTCAGGTGCACTTCCCGAGCCCGGGCCCCATGCCGGTCCTCCGCCTGGTCCTCCCGCCTGACCCTCCCGCGCGGGCAGTCAGCGAGGTGAGCGGGTGCGAGTGCGCCGGGCTCCGGCACGTGGCCTCATCACCGCCGTGGGATTTTAGGAACGCAGGACATGCACGCGCCCTTCTGAACTGGGCGGTCAGACACTCCATCCTTTATTAAGGTACCGGAGGGACCACGACGGCCAGCACAGAGCTGCGTGGATGCCACCTGGTCTCGCGAGCATTGCTGGGGGGCTTTTCCTTACGTTCTCCTTCCTTCTCTGCTCACCCGCCCTGCCCGTGAAGCACCGCGGGAGGGGACCGGTCAGCCTGCCGTGTCCCGAGCACGGGCTCTGCGCCCCACGGCACAGATCTGTGTCCCGAGATCACCCACGCCCCGTGCAGAGACCCCTGAGGGGGTGCAGGCGGGTGGGGGCACAGGCACAGGGCCCGCTTCCCGAGGGCACCCGGCTGCATGGTGATGGCTCCTGGGCCGCTGGACACCTCTCTGCTAGGGGGCACGTCCCCGGGCATTTCCAGGAGACATGAGCTGCACCGCAGAGCAGATGGACTCCCACGCGCTGCTTCGGGATGACCTGGTGACGTAAAGGTGGGCCCACAACACGGAGCACGGAAGAGGCCTCCCCGACCCGGGAGCAGGGGTCGTCCTCCACAGGAAGGGCCGGGGACTCGCCTCCGCGGCAACTAGGAGGGTCTGCTCCCCGAGGCCCCCAGGGAGAACGGGAGAAATCACGAGGGGCCCACGTGCCCGACAGAGGACCCGTAACCGGAACGCACACGTAGCTCCGGTAACAAACAAGAAACCAAATGCGCGCTTCACCAAAGCAGGTCGCCGAAGACACAGAAAAAGACAAAAGGGTGATCAGCCTCGGCGGACATCAGGGCCACACTGTGCTCACCCGCTGGGGGGCGAGGACACCAGCAAGGCCCGTCAGGCGCAGGCGCCACGTGGGCTGGGGCCGCCGGGACGCCCGTGCACTGCTGCAGCTCCTCCAGGAGAGCTGGGGACTCCCCCCGCCCAGGGGCCCCACACTGGGACACGGCCAGCGCACCCCCAAGGACACCGCAGACGCAGTGCTCGCAGGACACGGGAGAGCCCTGGCGGAGGCCCATTTGGGAACACGGCCCAGGGGACAGCCACACGGCGTGCCATCGCCCTGAGCGCAGCCCCGGGGGTTGGAGTCTGCTCTCCGTCCACAGCGGTGTTCGCCGCGTGCCACCTCCCCGGCCAAGGGTGATCGTGGCCAGGGCAGCTGGGCCCGTGGGTGGGCCAAGGGGGCTCCTGCTGCAGCGGGACAAAGGGAGGCCCCCGGAGCACAGAGGGGCGGTGGAGGAAGGGTCAGAGACGTGCAGCCAGCGGGCACAGGCGCCAGGTGAGCGGGGCACCGGGGGCTCCGGGGGGTGTGATACCCGGCGCCACTGCTGTATTCACATGTGCCTGTGCTCCCGCCAGGGGAAACCATGGACTCAGCGTCACTTACCCCTTATGGGGGGTGGGTAGGGGCCCGTGCATCCGTGCCCTGTTCCCAGGCTGGCACCGACACGGCTCAGTGTGAGCTGGACTAAACTCAACGGCTGCTGTGTGGACCCCAGCAGCTCCGTCAAATCCAAATGAAGCACAAACGCTACGGCGTCTTACGGCGTCTGGGGGTGGGGACACCCTCCCGGGGGTCACAGCACCCGGACCAGAGGGGGAAACGTGCCTCCGAGGGTGAAGCCCGCACCGCACCAGCTGCCACCCTGAACGCATCTCCCCACGACGGACACAAGCAGGACGACGGACACCAGCTGGTGGTGCTGCCAGACGCTTTATTGGTTCTTTTTCGTACACCTCAGGTGGGCCGCTGCTCGTGGCCTGGGGCCACCCGGCAGGGCCTCCGTGACCTCCCTCTTTCCTGGGGGGCAGGAACCCTCGCTAGCGCCCCTCACGTGCCAGCATCAGAAGGCGCCGCACGCGGTCGCCCTCTCTGCCTCAAATGCAGCCCCCTCGTCATTTTAGTGCATGTTTATCACACATTAGATAGCTTCCAATTATCGATAAGTGACACTTGGATTTCCTAATGACAAGTTCGTGAACTTACAGAAACTCTTCCCCCAACACCAAGTACCCTAAGCCGGTCAAACGTGAGAGCAGGGTGACGTCAGTCCCGATTCTCTCCCTGGAAAAGCAGGCCCCACTTCGATCTCGGGTCACACAGGAGTCCAGCCTCTGCCACGGGGACGGAACGTGCACTCCGATCCAGCCCCACCCCAAGGACGCCTCTTCAGGCGGGACACAGCTACGGACAAAGCTACAGACAGGACAGGGAATTCCTGCCCCAAGCAAGCAGCAGCGGAGGAAAACAGGCCAGCAGCTCCCCCTGCTGGAGGAGGCAGGGCTGCGGCCGCGTCACTTGGCGCAGAGTTCCAGCACCTTCTTCACCATGGCCCCGATGCCGTCGTGGACGTGGTGAAGCTCCGTCTCGCACATGAAGGCCGGGGTCGTGACCACCTTGTTTTTCTTGTCCACGTGGGCTTCGTGCACAGAAGTTATGGAAGCAGCTCACCCAGCAAGGACCAGGGGGTGTGCAGGCGTGAAGCCCCCCTCCCCCCTGCCTCCACCCCGAGGGCTCCTCCTCCTGCTGCCTCTGCCCACAGGGCCCACGACCCGCACCGACCCGCAGCCTGCACAGCCTGCACCGCCTGCGCTCCGTGAGCGGAGCACACACCCACGAGGAGGAGAGGAGCGCCCGAGCAGGGTGCTGGCTTCACAAGATACCCCAGGGCGGCACAGCCCAGGGACTGGACACACCCCCACACCTGGGCTGCCCCACAGCAACCCCGGACGCAGCAGAAGCACCTCTGGTCTTCCCACTAAGAAACTATAACAGACAGCTCGTCCGAGTGCCCGCAGCAAGAGGCCAGTCCAACTGGGGCCCTTCCTACATGGCTGCACTCTTGTCCTGGTCACACCAACACCAGGCAGTGACAGGCCTGGCCCTCGCTCCGCCCCAGCGAACACACTGGACTCGGTGCAAAGGCCCTGCGGCCAGCTCTACCCAGGCAGCCGCCGGCTCTGCTGGCCACTCTGCACAGCAGGGAGACACTTAAACCGCCTGCAAGGAAAGGCAGACACCCAGGGGTCACCCTGTCGTCTCCAGCACCTTCTGGGACGCTGTGCAGCTCTGTTCCCGGACTCTGGTCCACATGGAGTCTGGATCCAGGTGTGGACCTGGAATGTGCTCAGCCTGAGTCCCCTGCAGGAGGAAGAGCGCCTGGGCTGCCTGCCCATCCCCACCGCCCAGAGCGCTTCCAGCAAAGCCAGGCAGGCCCCCGTGCTTCTTCCACCTGCAGCCTGCATCCCCCGGGGGTGCAGTGTCGCCCCATCAAGCCTGAGGCCGTCTGCTCACCCGACCAGGCAGCCCAGCAGAGCTCTGGGCCGGGGCAGCAACGTCCGGCCGACTTAGAAACGCGGCCAGGGGACGGGTGCTACACCTGTGATGCACGTGCTCCCAGACGCCCCCAGCAGCGCAGTCCCCCAGGCCCAGAGGGGGGTCCTGTCACCACCCGCCACCCTGGCTGCCAGAAAGGATATGGTCACTTCCTTCACACAATGCTTGGCGCCCAGGGCTTTGATGGCTTCCACAGTCCCCGCATACGGCCACTTGCCACCTTCCTCTTGCTCGTGGCCCACGGTGACCTCAACGCCATGGAGCACTTTGGCTGCGAGGACAGAAGCGATGCAGCACAAGCTGAAAAGTGAGGGACCGGGTGAGCGCGGGGCCACACGTGGACGCCGGCCCGGGGCGCACGGAAGGAATGGAAGTGGCCTCGGGGAGGGGCGCCGGCTGCCACATGTGCCCTGAGCCTCAGCCCACCGCCCCACGGGCCCCGGGAACATAGCAGGATGCCAGTGGGTGCCGGGCCACCTTGCAGAAGGGAACGGATGGCAGCAATGGACTTAGGCCCGACTTTTGGGGGCTTTTCACACAACCGCAGCTCACCGCAGAGCACGGACTACTCAGGGACCCTTCTCTGGAGAGGGTGCCAGAAGCAGTCTCATGGGACCTGCTGGAGAGCAAGGGCGTGTGGACGCACACCTGCTGCCCCACGTGCCAGATGCCACCAGCTGGGCCTCACCACAGCCTCCAGGGGCCCCTCGCAGCAGTGCCAGCCCCACTGCACCCCCACCCAGGCCACGCCCACAGCACCTGAGCCCCGCTGTTCATTCCCAGGTGCACATGGTGGCATGCAGGGCGGTGTGGCCCGTGTGTGCCCTAGGGGCTCCTCTAAGGCTCTGCTCTTCGCCCGGGGCCCCGCTGCCCTGCAGCTCCTGAGCCTGGTCGTTCGGCCAACACCAGACCCCCAGGTGCCAGACACGGGACCAGAGCCCTGCCTGCAGCTGTGTGCACTCGGGGGATGCGTGTGGCATCCACTGCTCGGCTGCAGGCCGGGCCACCCCGTCGTGAGGCTGGCGGGGACGGCCCTGCCCTCCCTCGGGGTCCACGCACAGTGCCAGCAGCAGCCCAGCCCTCTCCCCCCGCTCATCTTCAGCGGGCCTGCTTCTCCCGTGCCCACCGGACAGGCTCTGTGCACAACCTGCCAAAACAAGCTGTGAAAAAATAGTGTCAAAACATACTTACGTCTGTTTTCAAAGATCACAAAACCTAAAACAACTTGCTTAAAAACCTGTAGGGGGAAACATCCCTCAGCCACCAAGTAGGTAAAGTCACCAGGTGTGGAGTCTCCAAAGTGCCCCCGGTCACAAGCCCGTGGGGGACCTGGCAGCCAGCATAGGACGCACACACACGAGCACCTGCCCTGTCTCGGGCTATGGACACGGAAGCTGCCCGAGCCACGTGCTCCAGACGCAGGCGCCCACGGGCACCACTCCCGCTCCGAGGTCAGGGGGTACACGAGCAAGGTGGCACCACCATCGGACCCTTGTCCCCAGCTGTGCTCCCAGCAAGCAGGGCACCAGGGTCCTCCCCGGCGCTCACCCCACGTGGGGTGCCGCTCCAGGGATGGCATCCCGGGAGGGGAGAGGCAGATGGCACCGCTGTCACCAGCTCCCTGGCGGCTCCGCAAGGTCTCTTCCGAGCAGACGAGCCTGATCTCCGGACCCACGGCTGCCACCTTCACGAGGAGGGAGCTCCCGCACAGAGCCTGTCCTAACAGGACCCTGCTCACACAGCCCCAGGGAGTGGTCCTCGGTGCACCAGGCAGAGCAGGGCTGGGAGGGAGCTTCTCCCACCGTGGACTCCAAGCCGAGCCCTCTCCACGCTCCAGCATGCTGACGTGGACGGCCAACACATGCGCTGGTGCACAAGCCCAGGGGTGACCGCTGGGAGGTCCACGCAGGCCAGATCTGGTGCATAGTGACTGTGCCAGCTGGCCTGAGCATGCAGGGGGCACGCGGCCCCACAGGAGGCCGTGGGGGATGGTGCTCACGGGTAATGCACCAGGCTGTCCGGCGTGAGGACAGGAAGGCAGATGCCAGGCGAGGGAAGGGGTGCTGGAAAAGGCTGGGGGGTGGGGAGGGCTGCCGGGGGAACTTTCTAGAAGCTCTCCTTCCCATTATGTCACCAGGAGAAATTGACGTAACCACATGACCGGGGAATTCTCCAAGCTGGAAGGCACCCATGACGGCACGTGAACCCCCGCAGTGAAGTCAGCCTTGGGACCACGCAGTCCTGCCCTCCCCGCCCCACGTACCCGATGGGCTTGCCGGCCTTGTGGAACTCCTTCAGGACCCTCTCCACATCCTCGTGGACTCTGCAGTCTTTCCCGTCAATGGCGAATGTGCTCCTGACAAGAAAAGGCGTCCTCAGGTCTGTGTGCCTGGGGAGCCTCCGACCCCCCCGGAGACGAACGTGTGGCCCTAACTCCCAGCACCCGACGTAAGCAGATAACATGCGTGTGCGTGGCTTTACACGTGACTACATATAATTTTTTTCTACTTTTTAAATCAGGGAAAAGTAAGGAGGGAGAGGGAGAGAGAGGGGAAGCAGACCCCAGAGTGAACCAAAGCCAGCAGGTGCGTGGGTCCTCAGAGCTCTGCTCCGTAAGCCAAGGAGCAGCGAAACCCGCATGGGCCCAGAAGCTGCGACAGGCACCCCACAGACGAGGAAGAGGCACGTGGTGAGATGAGATGCGGCTCCTCTCCCCAGGCGAGCGGCTCAGGGGTCAGGGGTCTGGGCAGCCTCCCCCCACAGCTGGCGGCTACGTGCTGGCACCACACATTGGGAGGCGACTGGCGGGACCCACCGGATCCCAGAGTACACGCTCTCTGGCCCGTGCCGTGTGGACGCCGCCATCCTGCGAGGTCTGCTGCTGCGTCAGTGCCCGTGAGCCGCCCAGGCACCGACGGAGGCTCAGGGTAGGCACGCGCGTCCTTATGTACCATGTCTTACACCTTAAATACTCACATCTGCACCCCCCGAAGCCATCAGGCCACACAAGCGTCCATCGGTCGGGTCATCTACCTGATGGATCCACCTGTGCCGCTGTGAGGTGGCTAACAGGCCACCAGTAAGCCATGTCGTTTGTGAAAAACACAAAGTTCAGGACGACAGGCTTAACAGGCCTCCGTCTGATTAGAGTCGGGTTTTTTCTATTTTTTTTAAGACTTATTTACTTATTTCAGAGAGAAGGCGGCAGAAGGCATGTGTGCACGCAGCATAGGAGTAGGGGGAGAAGGAGGGAGAGAGAATCTCCAGCAGACGCCCCACTGGGTGTGGGGCCCAGCAGGGGCTCAATGCCATGACCCCGAGCTCATGACCTGAACCAAAATCAAGAGCTGGACACTGGACCAACCGCACCAGACAGGAGCCCCAGGTAGATCTTTAACACAACCACACGGGACCCTCAGGAAGTACACGCAGAATGGGGGAAACGGTGCAGGGAGGGGCCCAGGGCCCCAACCAGGAGGATCCGAGTTCCCACTGTGAACCTCTGCCCCAGCGATCTCACCTGCCGCTCCTGCTGCATGTGCACTGCACAGCCGACAGCCACGGCTAAGGAGGCCAACCCCCGGGAGCCGGCCTGTCTTCTAGAACGGTCGGGGAGACTAGGGTAAACGACCGCAAGCTACGGCTTCCCCCAGGAGGGGCGAGCTCACAGACAGGAGCACTGACCCGAGGCCACCGCTCCCTCAAATGCAGAGACGAAGACCCACCAACAGCCCAGCACACCGCACCTGTGCTTCCAGGTCAACCGCGTGTGGGTCGTTGGCTGGGCCACAGACAGCACCCCGGAAGATCCCTGAAGGGCCCTCCCCCCAGGGGCGGTGCTGCTGGCCAGAGATAAGGCTCATTTCCCGAGAAAAAAACCCTGATCCTGGCAGAAGTGTAAGTCTGGCCAACAGAGGCCGTCCTCTGTCCCCCACCGCCAGAGGGTGTGGGAAGGGGGCGGTGACAAGGGGTGATCACCGGAAAGGCTGGATTGGAAGACAAAGTGGATGTGAGGAGAGGCAGGGCTCCCAGCAGGAGGCAGGCGTCTGGGCACTGCCTCGAGGGGCTCGGGACACACCCGGCTGGGCCCTGGACAAGAGCCATTCAGATGTCTGCAGGCCGAGGGCAGCCACAGCTGTCCGAACACGTAGGGAGCCTGCCTGGGCGCTGCCCTCACTTCTGGGCACAGGACGCCACCCACTGCGCTGCAGCCCGTCAGCTAAGCTAAGCGGGGGTGCAGTGAGCACAAGGGTCCAAGGCATCTGGCTTGCACCCTGCCCCACCTGGTGCCCTGAGTACAAGGAGGCCAGAGGGAGGGGATGAGCTGACAGTCGGCCCAGGTTAGGGGAAACAGCTTCGAACACCAACGTGATGTCCTGGCTGAGTTTCAGGCAGGCAGTGGCACACAGGTCAGGGAGGGGGAGGTCAGAGGGGGTGCTGGGGCAGGAGCAGCAGGGGAGAGGGCCTGGCCAGGTCCCACGGGGCTCACAGAGACCTGGAGAGCACAGAGGACAGGGAGGGCAAGAGCCTGTCACAGGAGGCAGTGGGGGCCGAGACCTTGGACAGGAGACACAGATGTCACAGCAGGGGAGCCTGAGGGGTGCGTGCTGGCGGAGCCCGTGCAGGGAGGGTGCAGGCGGCACCCAGCACCCACGCGGTCTGGGAGCAGGGAGGCGGAGGGCCGGGGCCAGCTGTCTGACTTCACAGCCACACACTCCGTCAGGGGCCCCTGGGCGTGGGACAGAGTGGCTGCCTTGCTCACGAAACAGGAAAACGCTCCACCCAGAGCCCAACATGCCGACGTATTGTTTCCAATGAAAACCGCACGGTCCAGGCTGTCACCCCCACAGCACACGTTTGAAGCCCGACGCGCGAGGTGCAGCTGCTCGCGGTCTTCCACGCCAGTTGCGAGGAAGCCACCCCGGAAGGGACACGCTGGCACGCTGAGGCCAGTGGAGAATTTCCATGAGGTGCCCAGAAAGAAGAGGTCAACAAATGAGAACAGAAAGAGGACCTGATACCGGGAGCGCGTCATGCTGGTGTGGTGATAGCTTGAGGGCCAGCTCCCCAGCAATGACCCAAGCAAGGGGCCTCCCTTCCTCTGGCGGGAACCAGGCTCTGCACGACCCGCTAAAACAGCGGGTTCTCTGCTGCAAGGTCAACAGGTGAGTCGGTGTCGGTGAGGGACACGTACGGGACTCAGTCCCGATATGACAAGACCGGCCAGCACGGTGGTTAATCAGAGAACGCCTCCGGCCCCCGCCCCCGCCATTCCCCCAACACACGGTGGCTGGTACTGGGAGCGCCCAGAAAAGAGAAAAATCCACGTGCTGCTAGAGCTCCACCCACGCCCCGTCCCAGAGCAGTGTCCTCCATGCAGCCTGTGGAACCCCAGCCCCCCAGCCACCGCTCTGGTGGCCCCCCAGCCCCATCTACCGCTGTGCTACAGGTGAAAAGCAGAGACCCCAGAGCTCCAACACGCACAGGTTTTTGGCGGCTCCAAAACCTCCAGGGAAGATGGCAGCGTCGTGATTGGCTGCGCTGAGCCTGGCCAGATCGGTGATCTTGCCCCGGGTGATCCTTGCGGACTCTGTCAGGACGTTCCTGGGAGAGAACACAGGGAGGCCTGAAGCCAGCGTCGGCCTGCAGAGAGCAGAGCGGGGTGCAGGGGAGGCCACCCCACAGCCAGGAAACACTTCCTCTGCTCCAGGGAAGGCACTGAGCACTGGACCACTCAGTCGTGTGGGCCGACGAAAAACAGGACAGAGGTGGGAAGGTCACGGCAGCGCAGGGCGCGAGGGAAGGAACCTGGGGTCAGCCACGGCAGGCGCTGCTTCCCCAGGCTGTGCGGCCCGAGGCCCACGTCCCAGGCAGCAGGACAAAGCCTGGGGACCACCGGGGGCACTGCAGCTCCCAGGAGACAGAGCTCTCACTGTCTGGACTGGCTGGAAAATGCCCTGCTGCCAGAGTCGGACAGGACGGGCACGGAGGAGCTCAAAGTGTGCAGAAACTGCATGAGCCCTCAGGACAGAAACGCCCCGACACATTGGGGCCCACGCAGGGGCAGGAGGCCGGAGTCCAAACCGAGCCCCACGGCAGGAGGACGTCTGGCAAGTGTGACAAAGTCACAAGAGCATCATCAGGGCGCCGTCACAACGGCCCGAGCTCCCAGGCTCCCATCCAGGGACACGTGCCTCGGAACACAGCCAGATTCCCAGGGGGACAGAGGACCTAAGCCTGCAGGTTCTCAGGGAGCTTCTATCAGGCCTTGTCCACCCTCCAGGCTGCCGGCGCCAGGACCTGCACCTGCTTTCGCTCTCAGAAGGCTGCCCCTTGGTGTGGTCAACCACGTGCATCTGAGGGATGTCAGGAGCAAAGGTCTGCACCTCGGCCTCGCCACGACTCAAGTGAACCAGCACCCTGCATGGAAGAAAATCAGACAAGGCTCTGAGCCGCACCCGACCCGGCGTCCCTGCTAACGTGTGTCTACGAGCAGCACTTTTGCGGATGCCCCGTGGAAACCCCTCCCATACACGACCGTGCTCCTGGGTTACAGGAAGCTAGGGTTGCCTTACCCACGGCGCCAACTCGCTGTCCCTGAACTAGCCTGCGGAGCCCAGCTGGCCCCAGGCTCCCTTTACAAACCGGGGTGCAGAGGACGGGTGACTGGTGTCAGAGCCTGGATGCTGAGGTTCCCAGGCTGCTGCTTGGGGATGCACTCCCTCCCGCGGGCCAGCGGATGCAGGGCCCGACACTCAGTCCAGGTCCCGCTCTGTCCGACGGCTCCCCCCTGCGCCAGGCTCCCCTTTCGTGGGGGGAGGCGGCGGCATAAGGTGCGGGGAAGAGCCAGCAGCACGCCGGTGCTCAGGCCCTGACCTCCGGCACCCGCAGGGCTCTGCACACGCAGCCCGGGCTGGAAGCTGTCGGGGCCGACCGCCCAGTGCAAAGTTTGTTCCAGGCTCCGCGCCCGCAGGACCCCGCCACCCCCCCCCGCCCCCGCAGGCCGCGAGGGAAGCGCCCCCGCCCCGCCCCTAGCTCCGCCCCCGCCCCGCCCCCCGCAGGCACCTGCAGGCCGCGAGGGAAGCGCCCCGGCCCCGCCCCAGCTCCGCCCCCCGCCCCGCCCCCCCGCAGGCACCCGCAGGCCGCAGGGACGCGCCCCCGCCCCGCCCCAGCTCCGCCCCCCGCCCCGCCCCCCGCAGGCACCCGCAGGCCGCAGGGACGCGCCCCCGCCCCGCCCCCCGCCGCCCCTCGCCGGCAGGTCCCCGCGGAGGCGGCCGCGGCCTGGGCTGGCTCCGGCTGGGACGGCCGCCCGCCTGCCGGCTGAGCCCGGGGGAACAGCGCCCGACGCGCTCGGCGGCGGCCTCCGCGGGTCCCTGCGCCCCGCAGCCCAGGCGGGGTCCCCTGGCCCTCCGCGCCGACCCGCGCCCTCCGCGGCTCCGGGGCTTACGCTGCGGCCTCCTGGAGCTCGGTCCCGTCGTAGACCCCGCATCCCGACAGCACCTGCGGGCGGCAGCGGTCACGGGGTCCGCCCGGGGCAGCCGGCGGGGGGGGCGGGGGGCGGGGGGGCGGGGCGGGGCGACGGCGGCCAACCCGGGAGGGGCCCGCCCGCTGCCGCCCGCTGCCGCCCGCCCGCCTACCAGCGCGACCCTGGCCCTCGGGCGCGGCGCGGAGCCGTGGAAGGCCGCACGCGGGGCGAACGCGGAGGCCGCCCGGAGCCTGGACGCCCCCAGCGCCCTGACCGCTGCCATGACCGCGCGGCTGCGTCTGCCTCTGCGTCTGCGTCTGCGTCTGCGCCTGCGCCTGCGCCTGCGCACGGCCGGCCCGGCCCCCGCCCGCGAGCGCGCCGGTGGGCGGGGCCGCGCCTGCGCACAGCCAGGCCCCCGCCCCCGTGGGACCCGGCCTCGGCTCCCGCCCGCACCTGCCGAGGCGCCCCCCGCCCCCGCCTCCCGGCCCGAGGGTCGCCCGCGGGGATGCGGGGCCCTCGGGTGCCGGCCCCGCGGGACCCAGGAAATGCAACAAAAGTCCCCTACCCCTGCACTAGCAGAGCAGGGTAACTCCACGTTGTGCCGCGCCCGCCCTCTCCGGCGCGACCCGCACACGACCTGCCTAGTGCTCAGGGCGCCCCCCACCCTAGTCGGGCCGCCGAGCACGCCCTTCCCGGACCCCGGCTCACAGCCAGGGAACCCCGCCCTGCGCCCGCCGAAACCGCGCGCCAATTCCGACCGGAGACCGGAGCGATAGGCCAGTTGACGCGGTCACTATAGGGCGAGTCGGGATTCCATTGGCCCCTATGCAGCTGCTCCGCCTCCGAGCCCCGGGGCCCAAGGCCAAGGCCCTGCCCCGCCGCGTCGGGTGCTCTTGGACCCCAGCTCCAGCTTGTAAATAAACCCTCGTGGGTTTGCCTCGGTGTCGGCTCCTCGGTGGTTTCTCGGGTTCGCGATCTTGGGCGCAACATTTGGGGGCTGGTCCGGGACCCCATCCGGAGGGTCCCACGCGTGGTGAGTGCCCTCAACTTTTTCCACCTTTTTGCGCGCATAGTCTCTGAGAGCTCTAAACCGTACTTTTACCTGTCGGAATTCCAATCTGTATTGGGTCAGCATCGGCTTAGGCGGAGGCGCTGGCGGGCCGTCGACCAGGGGTCTTGAGATGTCCCTTGCCCCTGCCTGGAGGACGGGGGTCCTCGTCTGTAAGGAGGACGGGTGTTGCACGCTCTGCAGGAACACGGTCAGGGTCCTGAGGGAAAGGGGATGGGGAAATAAAAGTAAAGAGATGGGGACAGGAGGGACACAGTGGATGATGGCCAAGCAGTGTCGGCTTTATTCAAGGTTCTGCAACATTATAGGCAAAACAAAGATAAGGAAGTATCTATTCTTAGCATATTTGTGAAACCCTCCAAGCTTCCCCTTTATCAGCATGCAAGGCAGACCCACTGGCGCCAGAGGATCCTGGTTAAGAGGTGGGTTTGTTGCTCCAGATGTACATACCTCGGAGGAACATTAGATGTGGCTAACAGGCCAGCAAGGACAGCACAGACCCTATTTCACTTTATGGCCAGGCCAGAGCACGTTGTATCTACTGTGTTATGTGGGCGACCACGTACAAGCGAGCTCTGAGCTCTGAAAACCGTTGCTCAAGCCCTTTCTTTCCTTTTTTTTTTTTGCTCAAGCCCTTTCTCAAGCGTCAACCAACTATTTACCCTTTGGGCTCTCGAGCCTTTTGAGTGAATGAGGGATGCAAGTACGAGCCTGGTTTGGTTTAGTTACTCCAGCTAGTCCATGGCCACCTACATTTCCCCCTTTTTTGTTTTCAGATTGAGGAAATGTAATTGAGCATCCATGTTGAATCTGTGTCGTCTTGCCTTGACCCACACACCATGCAAAAAGTAGAATAATCACAATAGTAAATATAATGATAAACATCCAGAATGAATACCTTAATAGGTTGCCTGGATTAAATCCGCGCAGGCCATCCAAGATATGAGCCACCATTTCAGCCGGGTTTGTCATACCTCTCTGAGAATGGCTGATAATGGAAATTTCCTTTTGCAACTCCAACAAATCAAGACTCATATTACTATGAAGCCATATTCCTTGTAGATGTTTTCTAACTTGCCCCCGTGTTACATTAGTGGTCTTCATAGGGGTGACACATATATGCTGAAACCCGCCATGGCAAACCAAGGACATCTGGTTTTTCAACAGGGATAGTTGATTCCCCAGAAATTCTACTGCTTCTTCAAGCCCATCAAGACGACCGAGAATTTTTTGATCTATACGCTCCTCAGTAGACACTACATAAGAGACGTTTTTTGCTAAGTGGTTAACGTATCGTGCTGTCTGTACACCCTGGGATAAGGCCACAGAGGCTGTGGCAGCAGTAGCTATAAGAGCAACCAATGCAGCAATACCGGCTATCAACAGCCCAAGGAAGCGTTTCAATCTCTTCAATTGTAGCTGCATTTCCACTGCGAACTGATAACCATAATTAGCATACCAAGGGCCTTCAATCTCAACAGGTAATAGTAAATAAGGCGGTTGCATAGTCAAAAAGATAGTGACAGGACCTGTGTGAAGTGAGGGCAAGAGCACAGGCAAACAATTGGTCAATACACAATTTTTACATCCTAGTTCAAATAACATATCAGTTCCATTATTTTGCATAAAGGTAAAATTTGTCGTCCCATATCCTACCACCAATAGGAATGGCCTAGGCACACAGGCCCTTATAGTAAGATTGGAGTCCTTTGTGTTTGTGTAGTGTTCTTAGCCATCTGCGTCTTGGCCGGTCCCATTGCGGCGACCAGTTTTCAGAGTTCTGCGTGGTACATTTCTCCGACGGTAGAAAAAACTCCTCCGGGTATAGTCACATTATTCATTGGTCGACCAGGTGGATATGCAATGTAGCGCAGAGGCTCCTTTCTTGTCATTCTCGACCAGTCTGTGATAGAAAACTCAGGGATGCCGAGAGGAGAGATGACCAAAGGTGTCTTCTGAAGGCGCTCCATCCAAATAGGACCTGAAATAGCATGGGTTAAGTTTTGAGGACAATTGGGGTACCCGGGAGGGCGCCTACCTTGTTGAGGGTCACTGGGAGGGGTGTCACCAGTGACCTCATAGACGATCCACCTTTCTAACATTATGTTAAGTCGGGATGGAGGGTTTTCATTCTTTTCTGTTTCTGAGGGATATGTCACTATGTGAGGTACTGGCTGAACTACCAAATAACCATTAAGTGGTTTTTGGTTACATAGTGGTAATTGGAAGCACATGGGTACCTAAGCGGCCAGGCCTGTCCAACTGATAGAATGGTTTGCAACCTCCATGCCATCAGAACTACTCCCTCCAAAATATTCTGTCATATTGGTGTGTATTTGGGGAGTAGGATCATCCCAAGTAACCGGCCTTATAGTAGGTGGGTCAGGTACATAGGCCCAATATACAGCCGCTTTGCTAACAGGAGGGGTTGTAATAGCTAATACAGTAAGAAGGGTTGTAAGTAAGGACTCATTAGGCTGTGTCTGTTCAACCAGACTTATCACTTGATTGATCAGTTCCCTTTTCCGGGCCCAACGGTACCACGGGAGACGTCTCCTTCTTCTTTTTTGTTGGCGAGTTATCGTCAGGTTGGCCAGTCTCCGGCGTAGGGGCGAGGAGTCGACACCATGGTTCCGGGAGCCATCACGGGGTGTCCTCATCCTGGGGGAAAATACAGACAAACCCACGCCCCTTGCGAAGGACAGGGTCGGGGCCTTTCCAAATGCCAGTCTATGGATCTTTCCACCTAGCGTAAGGGAGAGAAGAAAAATCTGGATGCCAAAACCGTTCAGCTGCCGTCCGTCCTATATCATCAACATTCAAAAAATTTAAAACATAAAGAGTTAGAGTTAAATGGATATGGGGAGAGTATTTCACTGTTCCCTGCAGTATCTCCCCCTTTTAATTTTTTAAGGTAAGATTTGAGAGTACTGTTAGCTCGTTTAACTATGGCTTGACCTTGTGCGTTGTAGGGAACTCCTGTAGACTGCTTAATTTGAAAGGTAGCACAAAGGCTCTGAAAAGCTTTGGAGCTATAAGCTGAGCCATTATCAGTTTTTATGGCCTTAGGGGTTCCCATTTGGGAGAAGGCTGAAAATAAATGATTTTGAACATCAGTAAAGGCTTCTCCAGAATGTGCAGTAGCGTGGATATACCCAGAGAAAGTATCGATAGAGACATGTATATATTTTAAGCGGCCGAAAGCAGGAAAGAGGGTAATATCCATTTGCCAGAGATGATTAGGCATCAATCCTCTGGGATTAACTGAATAAGTAAGAACAGGATGGTGGACTGGACAGGCCGGACAGTTTTTTACTATTTGGCGGGCCTCTTCTCTAGTGATGTGAAACGGTCGGCCAAGGGCTGAGGCATTTTGATGAAAACTAGCATGACTCTGTGTGGCCAATGTTTGTCGTTTACGTTTGTTATATAAGTGTGAGTAATGGTGTCAGCAATGTGGTTGCCTTCAGAGAGGGGACCAGGCAAATTAGTATGAGCCCATATATGGGATATAAAAATAGGAGCTCCTCTGGCCCGTAATATATTTGCTGAATACTAGAGAATAAGTGCTACAATTCCCCATCATTTGTGAGTATGTCAGCGCGTGGCAAGGCTGGAACAGCTCGAGCCACGTAGCGGCTGTCAGTGAATAGATTGCAGGGTTCGGGAAACATTTGCAAAGCCAAAACATTTGGACAGCCTTTGGTTCAGCTCTTTGTACTGACTTAGTGGGATAATGACTTTGATAAGTTGTTTTAGCCTTAGAGGATTCCTTGTAGATTCCAACGTGCCCTGTTTTATCAGCATCAACAAATAGAGTGACGGCGTTAGCCAGGGGTTATGTTGTCATGACTGCAGAACAGAAGACAGACGTGGTAGAAAGGAATTGCAAAAGTCTGTCTGCGGGAAGATGATATTTAAGCTGTCCTGGCTAACAGGACGAGGCTATTTGTCAATTTAAATTCATACTAAATAGAGCTTGTACCTTTTATTTTTTAATTTTTATTTATTTATGATAGTCACACAGAGAGAGAGAGACATAGGTAGAGGGAGAGGGAGAAGCAGGCTCCATGCACCGGGAGCCCGACGTGGGATTCGATCCGGGGTCTCCAGGATCGCGCCCTGGGCCAAAGGCAGGTGCCAAACCGCTGCGCCACCCAGGGGTCCCAGTAGAGCGTGTTCCTTATCTGCGGTTAACATAGGCAACAGGGTGTAATCAGGTTCTTTACCAATCATGAGAATAATGCGTTGACGACCCCTTAATATCAATTGGGCTAACATTTTAGTGTAATCATTTATAACGTGTAATTGACGTAAGGCCAAATGGATCCATTCCAAAGGTCCATGAGATTGCCAAATGACCGCAGCTGGTAATTGGGAAGGCATTAACAAGATTAAATATAAAGGTCGTGTAAGATCATACTGAGTTACATGTGCCTGTGACAACTTATTAACAAGCTGTAAAGCCCTTTGGGCTTCTTCAGGTAATTAGCGAGGAGAGGAGAGGAGGGAGCACTCTCTCCCTTAAGGGTATCAAATAATGGCTTTAAATCATTAGCTGTAATATGTAAGAAGGGTCTAATTCAATTAATACCCCCATTAATTTTTGATAGTCATCTAATGTTTTTAACGAGTGCGTTCTAATGGATAATTTCTGAGTTCTGATTGTTGTATTTTCAACAATGAAGCCGAGATTCTCAAAAGGCTCCTTTTTTTTTTTTTTTTTGGTATCTTTTCAGGAGCAATTACTAGATTAAATTGTTGTAATCTGTTGGTCAGATCTGAGAAAGCTTCTTGCAACATTTCCTCGGTCGGTCGGTGCAGCAAGAAGAATATCATCCATATAATGAATACAGTAAACGATGGAATTAAACTTCTTACGAAAAGGCGAAAGAGCTCTAGCTACAAATTCTTGGCACAAGGTGGGGCTGTTAGCCATTCCTTGTGGCAAAAACTTCCAATGAGTTCTTTTTGCGGGTTCCATATGATTTGTGCTAGGAATAGAAAAGGCAAATCTCTCACAGTTCTGGGGAGCCAGAGGAATGGTAAAAAAAAAAAAAAAAAAAAAAAAAAAAAAAGCAGTCTTTTAGATCCAATACAATCATCTTGAATTGTAAGGGTATAGCGGAGGGTGTGGGAAGCCCTGGCTGTAAAGCCCCCATGGGCTTCATAGTAGCATTAGCTGCCCTGAGGTCTTTTAATAGTCTCCATTTCCTGATTTCTTTTTAATTACAAATATTGGAGTGTTCCAGGGACTGTGAGTGCTCTGTAGATGACCCAAAAGCAGCTGTTCCTCTGCTAATGCTGCTGCTGCCTCTAATTTTTCTTTTGGTAGGGGCCACTGGTCTACCCATACAGGGTCATTACTTTTCCATTCAATAGGCAGTGGATGGGGAGAGTTCAGTGGCCCTCTTGAAAACCCAGTCCTTTTCCGGTGGTTTGACCGATAAGACAAATGGGGGCTGGGTTTCCTTGTAAATTTTTTTCCTAAACCTTTGCTTGGATCATAGCCCATTTTATTCATTAAAGTCACTACTATTTTTTGTTGATTTGGCATAGATATTGGGGCTGTAGTGAGGAAAACTCCCATGTCGGTTAGTATATCTCTGCCCTATAAGTTTAAATCTATTTTTAGGACAGAGAGCTGAAAACTTCCATAATGTCCTTCTGATGTAGACCAATTAAGAAAGTTAGCACTTATTTGAGGGGCACACGCGTAGCCTACACCCCTTATAGAAACCTCTGAATCTGTAAGGGGCCAACACTTTGGCCAGTGTTGCCTGGCGATAACAGAGACATCAGCTCCAGTATTTATCAACCCGACAAAGGGGCGACCTTGTATCTGTAAGGTTATCTATGGCTTGTCGGCTGAAATAAGCTGAGTCCAACAAATAAATATTGGTGGAGCCGAAGCCATTTGCTCCCCGCTTTCCTTTTACAGATGGGTTAGAAGTTTCATATCTAGGAATAATGATTAATTGGGCGATAGGCGTTTTAGGTTGTAAATGGAGAATGCCCTCCTTTAGTGTTACTGTGATTTTAATTTCTCCTGTATGATCTTCATTTATTACTCCCGGATGAACATTTAGTCCTTTCATAGTCCAACTAGATCTTCCTAAAAGCAATCCCCAGGTTCCCTTGGGAAGGGGTCCCCATATTCCTGTTGTTATAGCTTTGGGGGTTTGTCCAGCTTCTAGATATACCGGGGTGTCTGGGGCTAAGTGTAATCCTGCGCTGGCGGGGGTACCCCGGTGTAATTTGCTGATGTCTGGGAGGGCGGCGGTATTGGCCCCAGGGCGGACATCTGAGGAAACATTGCTGCTATTGTTTGTTGGGGCCGCAGCGGGCCTCCAGTTTCCCTGAATAATATTTCCAAATTTGTCCTTTTGGGAACGGCACTCATTTGCCCAATGATAGCCTCTTTGACATCTGGGGCACAGAGATGAGGGTTTTTTCCCTATTTCTCCGGGTCTTTCCAGCCCACCTATTAACTGAGGGCATTTGGCCTTGAGATGGCCTGCCTGTCCTCATGGAGAACAGGTTCGTCTTTCTTGGTTACCTCTTTGCTGCGTACGCCTCTGCATTTCCCGAGGGGGAATCCCCCTCAGTGCTGCAGCTAGGGTAACTCCCTGTACATATGAAGACCCTATTCCAGCACATAAACGACTGTAGTCTTCCAAGGTTCCTTTTCCCAGGGTGGAATAGCGGCTTGGCGGGCAGAATAAGCATTTTCGAGAGCCAGTTGTCTCACAGCGACTGTGCCTGCTTCCCCATCCACCGCTATGCGTCCTACTGCTTTTAACAAGCGAGCCGCAAAACCTTGATAAGGCTCATCCGGTCCTAGCCGGATTTTGCTGACTCTCCCTACCTGGTCCCTGCTGAAGGAAGTCTTTTCCAGGCCGTAAGGGCACACTGTGAAATTTGATTGTATGCTATTGCTGGATAATCAGTTTGCCTATCTACCTCAGCATAAGCCCCTCCCCCAGTTAGCATTTCAGAAGGAACCGGAATATTTGTCCTACGATTATACACAGCCGTTTCATTAGCTCTTTCAAAAAATTCAGTTTTCCAAAGTAAATAGCCACCACCTGATAGGCAGGCCTGAGCTATGACCTTCCAGCCTCCTGGGCAGAGGGCGTCCAGTCCCACGCTATCTAATAAGGACAGGGTGTAAGGAGCTGTGGGCCCGTACTGGGCGGTGGCTGTCTTGATCTCTTTTAGTATCTTAAAATTGACAGTAGAGTAGGCTCTCTGGCCATTACCATTTTGCATGACAGGGAAAGCTGAAAAGGCAGAGGTGTCCTCTCCAGCTTGTTGTGCTTGATGGAGAGTTTGTTGAAGAGGAGTTATTTTCAAAGGCGACAGCCCGCTAGGAAGGTGTTTGGGAAATACAGGGGGATATGGACCATTGGAAATGTGCTTTTAGAAGTCAGCCCTTCCTCCTTGTATGGAACCCCAGACTGAGGGTAAGGTGTCATTATATGACCATAAGGAGGATCTTTCCTGTAAGAGGGAGGATCAAAACTGCCCGGCCGTGGCTTGGCATGATCCATGGAAGAGGGTCGTATTTTTTTGCTCATGCCTGGAAAGGGATCAATATCATGATTAGGAGCGCAAGTTGCTTATAAGATTCCTGTTTAGAGGGATCCCTGGGTGGCGCAGCGGTTTGGCGCCTGCCTTTGGCCCGGGGCGCGATCCTGGAGACCCGGGATCGAATCCCACATCGGGCTCCCGGTGCATGGAGCCTGCTTCTCCCTCTGCCTATGTCTCTGCGCCTCTCTCTCTCTCTCTGTGACTATCATAAATAAATAAAAATTTAAAAAAAAAAAAAAAAAGATTCCTGTTTAGAGGGGGGGCCTGACGGCCCTGGAGCTGAGGATGAAAAAAAGTATTTCCTTATCATCATCTAAATATACCTCATCTCCTTCAATTTCATCTGCTCCGGTTTCAAATAAAGGTAGTGCCGTAGGGATGCTCGTCTGAGGCATATTTATGGTTTCCTTTTGCAGTTTTTGTCGGGGAGGGAATTGAGAGGGCGATATCTGTCCTGGTGGTGATGGTGACTCAGTCATCGAATTATTATTCTCCTTTTGTTCCTCTGAAGAGGTCTGAACATCATTCTCAGGGAGGGATTCATGAGAGGCTATAGAGATTAATTCGAAAGTGTGTTGTGGATCTAAAGCCTCTCTTATTTCCTCCCAAATTTGCATGGTGCCTGGAGGACAGGCCATAGGACCACGTTTTTTAAGTTGATTTTTAATTTCCTGTCCTACCCTTTGCCAGGCGTCCAGACTGACAGCCCCTTCTTGGAAACCAGGGACACAAGTCCGATACGGTACAAAAGAATTGCTGCAAGGCGTTTTTAGAGACCTTGGACCCTTCTCTCTTCATAAGGGCCTGCAAGGCGGTCATGAAAAGGACCTGTTCCATAGACTGCGATTGCCCCATTATTTTTTTACTCCTGTTGTGGCCCTAAATAGCCGGGCTCCCCTTACCTAATTGTCCGCGACGACTTACCTATATGTGCACTTTCTCTTGCATGTGCTCAGGTCCCTGTTCGGGCAACACGGTCAGGGTCCTGAGGGAAAGGGATGGGGAAATAAAAGAAAAGTAAAGAGATGGGGACAGGAGGGACACAGTGGATGATGGCCAAGCAGTGTCGGCTTTATTCAAGGTTCTGCAACATTATAGGCAAAACAAAGATAAGGAAGTATCTATTCTTAGCATATTTGTGAAACCCTCCAAGCTTCCCCTTTATCAGCATCCAAGGCAGACCCACTGGCGCCAGAGGATCCTGGTAAGAGGTGGGTTTGTTGCTCCAGATGTACATACCTCGGAGGAACATTAGATGTGGCTAACAGGCCAGCAAGGACAGCACAGACCCTATTTCACTTTATGGCCAGGCCAGAGCACGTTGTATCTACTGTGTTATGTGGGCGACCACGTACAAGCGAGCTCTGAGCTCTGAAAACCGTTGCTCAAGCCCTTTCTCAAGCGTCAACCAACTATTCACCCTTTGGGCTCTCGAGCCTTTTGAGTGAATGAGGGACGCAAGCCCGGGCCTGGTTCGGTTTCGTTACTCCAGCTAGTCCGTGGCCGCCCACAGACGGGTCCTCATCTGAGACGGGGAGGGAGGGGTCCTGTCTGTGAGGAGGGCCGGCTGCCAGCCCTCGGGGTTACCTTCTGTTTTGTCTCCGCGGCCGCCCGGGAACGTTCGTCTGTTACCGCGTCCTGTCAGCTGTGCGCGCTGGTCGGGGTTACTGTGTTCACTGTCAACTGTGCGTTTGACTGTGTTACTTGTTAACTGTCCTGTCTGTGCCTTGGCGTGGACCGGGGACGTAATGGGGCGGACGCAAACCACCCCCACCCCTTACGCTCCCCCACTTCTCGGATGTTAAGGAAAGAGCTCACAACCTGAGCACAGACCCACGGAGAGGGAAGTTTCGAACTTCCTGCGCGTCAGAATGGCCAGCCCTTGACGTGGGATGGCCCCGAGGAGGAACTTTCCAGGTTATCTCACAGGTTAAGGCCGTGATCTTCAGGGACAAACCGGCCGGCCACCCTGACCAGGTGCCCTGCGTCCTGGCCTGGCAGGACATGATCGAGAATCCCCCTCCTTGGCTAAAACTATCCCCCCCCCCCCCAAGCAGGACCTACCAAGATTCCAGCCCTGCAGAAAAGCTGAGAAGGAGACCGACTCTAAGACAAAAGTGCCTCTTCATTCAGTTTTACCGGATTCCTCTCCGGAGGACCTGATCCTCCCGCCGCCCTATTGGGCACCCCCTCGCCCTTCCACCCCCCCCCATCAGAGGTGGGGGGGCTGCAGAAGGGGCACCCCCCTCCCTGACGAGGGAGTCCCTGTGCGTGGGCCACGCAGACGGCCCCACCGGGCAGCCCCACCCCCTAAGGAGGGCCGGGCCACTCCCCCGCCCTTCCCCTCCACGCCATGGGGCCCCGACGAGACTGGCGGACAGCTAATGTACTGGCCGTTCTCCACCAGTGATTTATATAATTGGAAAACCCAAAATGCAAAGTTCTCGGATAATCCGAGAAATCTAATTGGGCTTTTAGATCCTGTTCTCTTTACCCAGCAGCCTACTTGGGAGGACTGCCCACAGCTCTTGCAGGTTCTCTTCACCACCGAGGAGAGAGAACAAATTCAAGTGGAAGCCCGGAACTCTGTCTTGGGAGAGGACAGACAGCCGACTCAAAACCCAGACCTCATAAACGCTGCCTTCCCCTTATCCCACCCCACCTGGGACCACAGCTCGGCTGAAGGTAAGGAGAGACCCCGGGTCCACCGCCAGACTCTCCCGGCAGGTCTCCAGGCTGCCGCGCGCAAGCCTCCCAATCTGGCCGAGGTCTATGGTGTGAGACAGGGTAAGGACAAGAGTCCAGCAGCCTTCCTAGAATACTAGGAGAGAAGAGCTTGCAGGACTTAGTAAGAGTAGCAGAACGAGTCTGTAATAGAGAGAGTCCAGAAGAACAACAAATCAAACTAAGTGACCGGCAGACCCGAAACCTGGCCAAGATCCTGCTGGCCACAACCATGGACGACCCCCAGGAAAAACGGAGACACCTCAAAAAACTGGCTTCAGGGACAGGTAAGGAGGATGGCCCTGGTCCCGGTCAGGAGCGTCCTGAACTAAACAAAAACCAACGTGCTTATTGTAAAGAGGAGGGCCACTGGGTAAAAGATTGCCCTAATAAAAGACCTAAGGCCCCTGCCAAGATCTGGGAAATGGAGGACCGGGACGATTAGGGGAGTCGGGGTTCGGCACCTCTCCCCGAGCCCAGGGTAACTCTCAGAGTGGAGGGACAACCCGTTGAATTATTAGTGGACACTGGGGCACAACACTCGGTCTTATTACAACCCCAAGGAAAATTAGCAAGCAAGACTTCATGGGTGCAAGGGGCCACGGGCACCAAACAGCACTCACGGACTACCCAAAGCTCTGTAGATCTCGGCATGGGCCGGGTATCCCGTTCCTTCATGGTTATCCCTGAGTGTCCCTACCTGTTATTAGGTAGGGACTTGCTCACCAAAATGGGGGCACAGATTCACTTCCACCCCGAAGGGGCAAAAGTCCTAAATAAGGAAGGGCACCCGATCCAAGTACTTGTCCTAAGTTTAGAAGATGAATATCGTCTCCACCAGACACCCTCAGCCCCGATGACTGACATTGACCATTGGCTGCGGGAATTTCCCCAAGCGTGGGCAGAAACTGGGGGGAATTGGGCTGTCACAACACCGACCGACCATATACATAGAACTGAAACCGGGAGTAGACCCTGTCAGGGTCCGCCAAGACCCCGTGCCTCTCGTGGTGCGTACGGGAATCACACCCCACATACGGCGACTACTGGACTTGGGCATTTTGGGGCCTTGCCAATCAGCATGGAACACCCCCTTGCTGCTGGTGCGAAAACCGCACTCTAACGATTACAGGCAGTCCAGGACTTAAGGGAAATCAACCGGCAAGTAGAGGATATGCATCCTACGGTCCCAAACCCACACACCCTCCTCTCCACCCTGCCTCCAGATAAAACTTGGCTTATGGTATTAGACTTAAAGGACGCCTTTAGTAGATGATATCCTGTTGGCGGCAAAGGACCAGGACACATGCCTGCGAGGCACCAGGGACTTGCTCCAGACCATAGCGGCCCTAGGATACCGGGCCTCAGCTAAAAAAGCTCAGCTCTGCAGAACGGAGGTGAGGTACCTAGGGTACAAATTAAAAGATGGACCAAGATGGTTGACGGGTGCACGGAAGGAAACTGTCCTAAGAATCCCAGAACCACGAACCGTCCGCCAGGTACGTGAATTCCTGGGGTCAGCAGAGTTCTGTCGATTATGGATTCCAGGTTTTGCCGAGATGGCCGGACCCCTCCATGAGGCCACCAGACACCAGCAAAATTTTGAATGGACAAAGGCCATGGACAAAGCCTTTAATGACCTTAAACGGACTTTGCTGTCTGCCTCGGCTCTCGGGTTGCCAGACCTAACCAAGCCCTTCTACCTGTATGTGGACGAGAAAGACAGAGTGGCAAAAGGGGTCCTTGTCCGGTACGTAGGTCCCTGGAAGAGACCCATAGCCTATCTCTACAAAAAGCTAGACACGGTGGCCGCTGGATGGCCCCCATGCTTAAAAATTATTGCCATTAGTGGCCACGATGGTTAAAGACGCAGACAAGCTGGCCATGGGGCAAGAACTGCATGTTACCGCCCCACACGCCATTGAAGGGGCACTCAAGCAGCCCCCGGACCGCTGATCAGCAATGCCCGTCTGACCCATTATCAGAGCCTGCTGCTAAACCCCACCAGAATTTTATTTAAGCCACCGACAACCCTGAATCCGGCGACGCTACTCCCTAACCCAGACTGGGACCCCCCCCCCACATGATTGTCAAGAAATTTTGGCACAGGTGCGCGGAATCAGAGCTGACCTCCAGGATCAGCCACTGCTGAACGCGGACGCCACCTGGTACGCGGACGGCAGCAGTTTTGTCCGAGAAGGAGTCAGGTACGCGGGGGCAGCCGTAACCACGGAGACGGAAACTATCTGGGCGGAGCCATTGGCAGCCGGAACCTCAGCTCAACGGGCAGAGCTGACCGCACTGGCCAAGGCGCTGACCATGGGGGAAGGTAAGCGGACCAACATCTACACCGACCGCAGGTCCGCCCTCGCCACCGCTCACATCCACGGAGCCTTTAACAGGGAGAGAGGGCTCCTGACAGCAGAGGGAAAGACTGTTAAGAACAAAACGGAGATCCTTGAACTCCTGAGGGCCCTCTGGCTGCCCAAGGCCCTAGCCGTCATCCACTGTCCGGGGCACCAAAAGGCAGACGCACCAGTAGCCAGGGGAAACCGGCGAGCCGATTTAAAAGCAAAGGAGGCAGCCCTTTCGGTGACCCAGGTCTTAGCAACCACGCTGCCCGATCCGGGGGCACCGACCCTGCCCGACACCCCCAACTATACTGATGCTGATTTACACTGGATCAAACGCTTGCCTGTGACCCAGTGCTTGCATGGCTGGGGGAGGGCCGCAGACTCCAGCATCATCCTGCCAGAGGAACTAGGACGGCGAGGCCTGTCCAGAATGCATCCGAGTACTCACACGGGAACAAGGAAGACGGAAGACCTCATAGACATGCAAAGATCACTATTAAAGACTCTCGAGCAAAGATCGAGCAGATTGTGGCGAGCTGCCACGCGTGCCAGTTAACTAATGCCTCCGCCCATGGATCTAACCCAGGCACCCGGCTCCGGGGGACCGTCCAGGAGCCTACTGGGAAGTGGACTTCACTGAGGTAAAACCTGGAAAATACGGATACAGGTATTTACTAGTGTTTGTAGAGACCTTTTCAGGATGGACAGAGGCATTTCCCACCAAACATGAAACAGCACAGACCGTGACCAAGAAACTGCTGGAAGACATTGTACCGAGGTATGGTTTTCCTGCTAAGATGGGATCAGACAACGGCCCAGGATTCGTCTCTTAGGTAACACGGGGAGGGGCACTAGTACTTGGGGCAGACTGGAAATGACATTGTGCACATAGGCCCCAGAGCTCAGGACAGGTAGAGAGGATGAACAGAACAGTAAAGGAGACCTTAACTAAATCAGCCCTGGAGACTGGCGGGGACTGGGTGGCTCTCCTCCCCTTCGCCCTATATAGGGTGCGAAATTCCCCATATAAAATGGGACTTACCCCCTACGAAATCATGTTTGGTCTTCCTCCACCCATTATCCCCAATTTAAAACCTGAGGTGCTTGCTGAGTTTGATGATCACCAACTCCTTTTTTTCCCTCCAAATGTCACAAAAATCTCACTAACAGGTGTGGCCTAAGCTGAGGGCCCTCTACGAGACTGGGCACCCCTGGACTCCCATCGGTATCGACCGGGTGACCGGGTGTACGTGCGGAGACACCAACACCAGACGCTCCAACCCTGCTGGAAGGGACCCTACATCGAGATCCTGACCACTCCCACCGCTCTCAAGGTCGACGGGATATCTCCCTGGGTCCACTACACCCACGTCCGGCCAGCTGACCCACACACCGTCCTCAAGGACTTTGTTCCAGAATGGAAGAGTCAGCCCGACAAGGACAATCCCCTAAAGCTAAGGCTGCATCACTCCCACTTACCCCACTAGTATTACTTGCACTGTATCCCCTCGCGGCTAAAACTAACCCCCACCAGCCACTAAATCTAACCTGGCAAATCCTCACCCCGAGTTCTATGGAAATAATAACCCAGCTGACAGGAATACACCCTAGGGGAACCTGGTGGCCCAATCTAACCTTTGACTTATGCGACCCAAAACTTTTCGGGGTCCACCATGGCCCCTCGGCTCTCCATGGCCGAATACCCGGATGTGTCGGCAGGTGGAGCTTAAGCTCCCTCCGTGCCACCTGCTTTTATGCATGCCCGGCCCCCTCTCTGTCTGACCATAATAAGGTCTCCAGATGTGGAGGCCCCGAGGATTACTTCTGTAAAACATGGGGTTGTGAACAGACTGGGACATGTTATTGGCTGTCACAGAATCCGACCGGCCTTATAAAAATCCAACGAAACGCCACAAGCCCCACATGCTCGGGCGCTGGGAAGTCAGGCCGCTATCTCTGTAATCAAGTCACCATTTCCTTCACAGAGGCCGGAAAACGAGATACAAATTGGGGGGTAGGACTTCTCTGGGGACTCCGACTCTACCAAAGCGGGTATGATAATGGAGTCCTATTCATGATCCGACAAGTCGAGAAGCCGCAAGGTCAAACCCAAGGGATAGGCCCCGACCCTGTGCTAGTGCCTCCTCAATCTCAAGTAACATCTACAACACCCTCCTGAAATTTTCCCACAACTCCTCTGGTTGGGGCACCCCAGGCCCAACTCGCCTTCCCCTCGACCCTTCTCAACACCCTCTTTGGGCCCTGGTGTCCCAAGCTTACAAATTCCTCAATGCACTAAACCCAATCTTACCCGATCCTGCTGGCTGTGCTATGACATCCGGCCCCCTTCTATGAAGGAATTGCAAAAATGGGTCAGTATAACACAACCACGGACCCTAATGCTTGCAGGTGGAACCCAAAGCCTGGTAGTAAAGGCCTCACCTTACAATCCGTCTCAGGCCAGGGGCTCTGCATAGGCCTCCTCCACGCCACTACCAGATTCTGTGCAACGTTACACAGCCCGTAAACAGTACCGGGTGTCATCTACCGCCCCAAGACAGCTGGTGGGCCTGTTCCGAGGGATGGACTCCCTGCGCTCATAGACACGTTATAAACAGAACTGGGGGCTTCTGTGTGCTAGTACAGCCACTCCCTAAAATTATCTGTCACTCCGATGAGCAGGTACTTCAGTGGTTCGATGCGGGTACCCACAGACGGGATAAAAGGGAACCCATCTCGGCTATCACCATCGCTATGCCGGTAGGATTAGGATTAACAGGCGCAGGGACAGGTGTCGCTTCACGGACTAGGCAGTCCCACTGTAAAGGTCTGCGAGCAGCAATCGATCGGGATATAGAGCGAGTCTATTTCTCACCTCTAAGACTCCCTGACATCCTTGTCTGAAGTTGTCCTTCAAAACAGAAGGGGATTAGATTTAGTTGTTTTTTTTTTTACAACCGGGGGGTTATGTGTGCCCTAAACGAAGAATGTTGCTTCTTTACTGACCACTTGGGAATAGTCCGAGAATCTATGGCAACGGTCAGAGAAGGTTTAGCTAGACGAAAACGGGAACGAGAACAACAAGGATGGTTCGAATCCCGGTACCATCATTCCCCCTGGCTGACTGCCGTGTTATCCTCCCTGGCCGGCCCACTCGTCACCCTCCTCCTCCTGACCTTCGGACCCTGCCTCATTGATAGAGCAGTAGCTTTCGTCAAGGACTGAGTCAATACAGTCCAACTCATGGTGTTCAGGCAACAATGCCAACCACTGCCTCTTTCTACAGAAGCCCAGAGCCCTTGATTGGGTCCTGCATAGGATCCTCTGAAAAAGGGGGGAGGAATGTGGGACCCAGGAAATTTAACAAAAATCCCCTACCCCTGGACAAGCAGAGCAGGACTAACTCCATTTTGTGCTGCACCCGCCACCTCCTGTATGACCCCCACATGACCTGCTTGGTGCTCAGGGCGCTCCCCACCCTAGTCAGGCCACTGAGCACACCCTTAACAGAAACTGGCTCACAACAATGTAACCCCGCCTTGTGCCCGCCAAAACCGCGCGCCAATCCTGACCAGGGCGATAGGCCAGTTCAAATGGTCGCTGTAGGGTGGATTGTGATTCCACCGGCCACCTGCGTGTGGACCGACACGACTGTGCAACTTTCTGTGTGTGTTACAGTCCCATTGGCCACGGGCCCCTATAAAGCTGCTACGCCTCTTAGCCGCAGGGTCCAAGTCCCTGCTCCGCTGTGTGCAGTATACTCGGACCCAAGCTCGAGCTTATAAATAAACCCTCGTGTACTTGCATCCGTGTCGGCTCCTTGGTGGTTTCTTGCATTCGCAATCTTGGGCACAACAGCCCAGGCTCTCCGCTGAGCTACCGGGGCTGCCCCTGACAGTTCCAATTTTTAAGACTTCTACGGTTAATGTCTGCAGAGATTCTCCTGGGAAATGAGAGTAAACAGTGGATATTATAAAAGTAGAACCAGAGATGAGCTTGGAACAGTCACGGCTTCGTGAACCTTCATCCCTGACCCTCCATTTCTACACATGGACCCAATTTCTCCGGACCCAGGAGAGCTGTTCTCGTCCTTTCACTGCAGCTGGGGTCCAGCGGGTCAGTGTCACGCCCAGGCCAGGGGCTGGCTGGAGTGGTGGGATCGCGGGATCTGCTCCTTTCAGGTTATGCTACGTGCAGACTGTGCCTTGGTGGGTCCAGGAGCTGAGCCGCAGCCGGCCGCTCTCCCAGGCCTGTGGCAGGTGCTGCTGCTGCCAGACTGTGTGCGGGGAGGAGCCTGGCCACAGCTCTGGGATGTGCAGAGCCCCTGCTCCCACTCGTCTGCACCCTGGGGTCTGCTCACGGCGCTCTAATCTTTTTTTTTTTTTTAAAGATTTTATTTATTCATGAGAGGCAGAGATACGGGCAGAGGGAGAAGCAGGCCCCATGCTGGGAGCCCGATGTGGGACTCGATCCCAGGACTCCAGGATCACGCCCTGGGCTGCAGGCAGACGCTCAACCGCTGAGCCACCCGGGCGTCCCATGGAGCTCTAATCTTAAAAATAAAGCTGAGTTGTTTTACCAACAAAAGTGTGTCCATTGGAAAACAGCAGAGAATCGCAGACCCTGAGAAGGACCCAGCAGGAAAACGGAAACCACAGACGAGTCAGGAGAACAGCACGGAGGAGGCTCTTTTATAGAGGAAAGGGGGGCGGGGCTGTTGTAAAAGGAGCACCCATCGGAGTAGAGTGGGGGCTGGAAGTGTGCTGGCCTGGAAGCCTCTCCTCGGCTGGTCTGCAGGAATCCCGGAGGGATGGGCCGGGGGCTCCCCCCGCTGGCCTCCAGACTCTGCTCTAAAGGACAGTCCCTTTTGCCAACCTTCAAGACCTGTGCGCATACGTGAACCTTACCAAAACCACAGAGGCGATGACTGGGTTAGCCGCGACATGGAGGGGGCTGTGGGCAGACCCCGGTGACTGCAGGGGCCAAGCGCACAGTGTGGGTGCACAGCCCAGATCACGGAGCCCCCAGGCGCGGGTGCAGGCTGCAGCGGCTCCTGGGCACTGAGGCCGGCCTGGGGAGGTTGGCAGCGCCTGCGGGGAGCCCCAGGCTGGGACCCAGTGGACAGACACTGTGCCCACCACAGTCGGGGAAGTGCTGCACCCAGCTGTGCCCATCCTGCCCCTGGATGGAGGCTGTCCCCACCGAGCCCCAGGGCCCAGGAGGGAAGAGCAGCGTGTCTCCCATCCACCCGTGCCCACCCGGCACAGGGGTGAGCGAGCTCCCAAGAGCACCGTACAGTTCCTCCCCAGTGTGCAGGGACTCTGGGGGCAAGGGCTGGGGCGTGCCGGGCTGCCCTGCTCATTCCCCCGCCACAGGCCCCGATCCCATGACTCAGGATCCATCTTGAACATCTTTAATCCAGGGTTCAGGTTTACTCCACACTTTCATTGTAGAAAACCTCATTTTCATCTATCATCCCGACTGTATTAAAAATATAAATTAGACTCCTACAAAGTTCAAGTCTATAAAAAAGAACCCCCCCGCCTCCCTGGAGAGGCGTTTCCAAGAGCAGACAAGCCAAGCTCATGTTTGCTCGGAGCGCCGGTGCCCGGCCCGTGCGCCAAGGCCGTGCTGGCCCGGGGAGCGGCTGGCTCCGGAGCTGCAGCCGCGTCTGCCTCGGCAGGAGTCCTCCGGGCCGGTGCCCCCGCAGCTCTGCGCACTGCCCTCCCTCGCTTCCGGGGCCCGGGCCGCGGGCTCCATGTCTTCGGGGGTCTTCATCCAAACAAGCGGGGCTGGGACGGGGCCGGCCCTACACGGGCTGCGCGGCCCCATCGCCCTGCCCTCCCCCGAGCAGGTGCAGAGTGTCGTCATCGGACGTGTCTGCTTCCTCCTCGCTGCCCAGCGGTTCTGACGGGCGCTTTCTGCCCCGCTGCCTGGACACTGCCAGAACGTACTGGATGTTATAGCGGTTCCAGTCACAGCTGTTAAAAGCACACAGGGGTCGCGTCAGTGATGGCTCTTCTCTCCCATCAGGACTCTGGCTCGCCTGGCGCCCGACCACCTTCTGTGAGCCCCCGACCTGCCCGCCCTGCCCTGTGGCGCGATGCACCCATGCTGGTCTGTCCTCGCCACCCTGCCCTGCTCTGGACCTGACGCAGGCGGCC